ACAGAGAGATCTCCTGCTTGTTGGTGCAATCCCCAAATGGCTGCAACAGCCAGGGCTGGGCCAGGCTGAAGCCAGGAATCAGGAGCTCCATCACACATGGGTGGCAGGGGCCCAGGTTCTTGGGTCATCTTCTACTGCTTTCCCAGGTGCATTAGCAGGGAGCTGGATCAGAAGTGGAGCAGACAGGACTAGGAACCATCATTCATATTGATGTTGGCATTGCAGGTTGTGCCACAATGCCGGCCCCCAGTCTTCTTTTTGACAAGTGGATATCCACATGCAAAAGAAGTTGGCCTCAGCTCTCTGCTGTGGCCAAGGAGTGCAGTGGAGGATGGCCCAAGTGCTTGGGCCCTGCACCCCATGGGAGACCAGGAGAAGCACCTGGCTCCTGCCTTCGGATCAGCGCGGCCGCGGCAGCCATTGGAAGGTGAACCAACGGCAAAGGAAGACCTTTCTCTCTCTGTCTCTGTCTCACTGTCCACTCTGTCAAAAAAAAAAAAAAGCTGGCCTCTATCTTACACCATATGAAATAATTAACTCAAAATAGACCAAATATTTTTAAATGAAAGGCAAAACTACAAGCTATTAGATGAAAACACAAATGTGAACCTTAAAATGAATTTTATGAGCAGTTTACTATTGAAGTAGACCTCAGAAAAGAATGCAAAATAACAAAACTAATGTTGACTCATTTTTAGTTTCAACAAATTATACTTCAGAGACTAAATCAAAGGATATAAATAAATTTTAGAAGTATATTGAGAAATAATCCTTCAACTCTATTACTGTGTTGGTCACTACCACTATGCATGCCAGCTTAGATGTCAACTCTGAGCAGCTACAGGAATGCCAAGAACTTCAGTTCTGCTAAACCAAAGAGGCTGATAGTGGCAGGCTGGGGGAAACATCCACAGAGGACAGTGGTGAAGAGGTTAGTACAACTTGCCCTGACTGTTGATGAACAACTTAATACTTTATCCTTCCTAGTATTTTGTTTGTTCTACTTAATACTATTGGTTGAATTCTGTTATTAATACACAGTTATTCTTAAGTGTTGAAACTTAACTGAAAAGTGATCCCTATTAAATATAAAAGTGGGAATAAGAGAGGGGAGAGATGTACAATTTGGGACATGCTCAAGCTGACTTGTCCCAAACGGTAGAGTTAGAAACATACCAGGGGAACCCAATTCAATCCCATCAAGGTGGCATGTACCAATGCCATCTCACTAGTCCAAGTGATCAATTTCTGTTCACAATTGATCATAATGATAGGACTAAGAGTCAAAGGGATCACATAAACAAGACTAGTGTCTGCTAATACTAACTGATAGAATAAAAAAGGGAGAGAACGATCCAACATGGGAATCGGGATACACAGCAGACTCATAGAATGGCAGATGTCCTAAACAGCACTCTAGCCTCAGAATCAGCCCTTAAGGCATTGGGATCCAGCTGAAAAGCCCATGAGAGTATTTCAGGCATGGAAAGCCAAGACACTCTGGAAAAAAAAAAAAAAAGTGACCTAAATGAAAGATCTCCGCGAGTGAGATCCCAGTGGAAAGAACAGGGCATCAAAGAAGGAGGTACCTTTCTCTGAAGGGAGGAGAGAACTTCCACTTTGACTATGACCTTGTCTAAATATGATCAGAGTCGGAGAACTCAAAAGGCTTCCATAGCCTTGGCAACTCATGACAAGAGCCTAGGGAGATTACTGATGCCATAAACAAGAGTGTCAATTTGTTAAGTCAACAAGAGGAGTCACTGTGCACTTACTCCTCATGTAGGAGGATCTCTGTCCTTAATGTGCTGTACATTGTGATTTAATGCTATAAATGGTACTCAAACAGTATTTTTCACTTTGTGTTTCTATGTGAGTGCAAACTGTTGAAATCTTTACTTAATATATACTAAACTGATCTTCTGTATACAAAGAGAATTAAAAATGAATCTTGATGTGAATGGAAGGGGAGAGGGAGCGGGAAAGGGGAGGGTTGCGCGTGGGAAGGAAGTTATGGCGGGGGGGAGCCATTGTAATCCATAAGCTGTACTTTGGAAATTTATATTCATTAAATAAAAGTTAAAAAAAAAAGAGGTTAGTACAAGACCCCAGCTGAAGTAGGAACAGAAAGACATTAGCAGAAGTGATAAAGCATACAGGGGTCAAGAGTCAGAGTAACAGAACAAGAGTTGGGCTTCTGAATAGAAACTCGCTCAGATTGGATGAACCAATCAGTCAAGTTTTACATTCATGGTTAATGTTGATGTGAAAGGAAGAGAAAGAAGGAGTTCACAGCAAGGATGATGGGGAAAAGAAAATCAAAAGAGCTAAATTTAAAAGAACTCAACATGAACAGGATTGTATAGTGATCACATTAACTAAAAAGAGGGGTGCAAAGAGACTACTGGCAAGGGGAGAGAATGATGGCTTGGCAGTCAGACCAGAATGCAATCTTAAATGCAGTTTATTTTCTAAACTAGTAAATGTATTCAGCAGCTGCATACTACCGTGCTTAAGGAAATCACACATTTACTGTTACAATATCATTGATTAAAATGAATACCAGAGTTTGAAATGATGTTCTCTATGTATCAAGTTATCTACCCTCAGCAATGATAAATTATTTTTATCTCTACAGAAGGCCTTATCCACAGCAAAGAAAATATTACAATTCTTCATGATCAACCATGGTCTCCAACTGGAATCAGTCTCAGAAGTTCTGGGGCAGGCGTTTGAGATACCAGTTAGGATACCTGCATCTACCACAGAGTACCTCGGTTCCAAGTCTAGCTCATGCTCCGGACTCATTTGTTAATAATCAACACCCTGGGAGACTGTAGTGATAGCTCAAGTAGTTGGGTCCCTGCCATCCTTGTGGGAGGCCTGGATTGAGTTCCTGACTCCTGACTATACCTCAGTCCAGTTCCAGCCACTGAGGACTTTTGGAGGAGTGATCCTGCGGATGCAAGCTCTCTGGCTTTCAAATTAAAAAAAAGGAACAGACAACTGCACTTAACAGTGTTCCTGATGAAGCAATAGTCTCAGAATTGCCTCCAACTAATGGGAAAAAATACAGATAGATTTAATACATAATTACATTTACACAAGCAAAAGTAAAAAATATAACAAGGATGCTTTCATAGTTTAGGGAGAGAATAAAAATCGAGATGTCTAACACCACACAGTAGTATAATTGTGGCAAATTACATAACAAAAACAGGAATGGGCATTAGGTGCCCACATCCCCTATGAGAATACCTGAGTTTAATTCCAGGCTCCAGCTCCTGATTTCAGCTTCTTGCCAAACACACACCCTGGGAGGCAGTGGTGAAGGCTCAAGTAATTGGGTTCCTGCACTCAGGCTGTGTTCATGGGTTCCAACTCTGCACATGGCCAGTCCCAACCATTTCATACATTTAGGGAGAAAAGCAGTGGTTGGAAGCTCTCCCCCTATCAAGTAAATAAATTTAAAATAAAAAACAAGAGGAGATGACACCTGTTTGCATTTCAAGCAGAGATGAAAGAAAACACCTTCAATATTATTTTAAATTTTAATTACTATGTCATTGAGTATAATTTGCTTTATAATCTTAAAAGATTAAGTTTATACAACATTCACATTAATATAGTTTCATGCATTAAACAGTTTAACAAAAATTATTCAAGACAATACTGATTTCCCAAGAATTCCTTTGCATCTTAAGGGAGTTCTTTCCTCAAGAAACCTAGACAATTAGGTATTTCATTTTGTGAACTCAATTGAGTATGAGAATAAAGAAAAGCCTAATACCCACTTTGTAAATGTCCAAATAATCATTACAATTACCTAGATTTTTTTAAATTATAGCAGTAGAGAGGTAATTTATAATGGATACAACCTGGACAGTCACATGACCATCATTACTTATTTGGCCAATGTGCCTTGAGAAGTAAACAATGCATATCTCTATTATCAGCTATGCAAATAATTTTTCTCCAAAATAAAGGCTACTAAACATTAGGGACTATAAAGTCCTACTCTATGTAATAAAGTATTTACAAGTTATCGTGTTTATTAACTGAAAATGGATAATCTTTGGAACAAAAGTTTTTAAAAGCTATTCAGTGACTAATTTTACTGTAGTTTATGGTATAAGGAAATCCTGTTGAAATCTCATCTCACATTATAATGTAAACCTTCTCCAATACCTTGTAGCCCATTTTTAATCTATAGTTAGATGGCTGTTTTAAAAAGACTATAAAGAGAAAAAACCTGGACTCCATGGTTAAGAATGCTTCCTTGTAACCTTTGAACATTGTTTTAAATCCAACTACTATGCTGAACAAATTACAGTAATTTTCACTACCAGTGAAGTTCCACGGTTTCTTTTTACTCACCAGATTTCTTATAATCAGTTTCTTATCCAACTACCAGTCCTCTTTTGAAGGCAGAGTAAAGCAGGTGCTTATTTACCAAAGACAAAGTAATTCACAAGGTGGGCATCAGGCCTAGCAGCTAAGAACCCTGAACCCCCATGTGGAGTGCCTGGCTCTTCCAACTCCATCTTCCTGCTAATGCAGACCCTAACAGGCCGCGCTGATTGCTCAAGTGATTTGGTTTCTGCTACCGAGTGGGAGATGTAGATCGTAGATCAAGTTCCTTGCCTCATGTTCCTCCCCTACCCACTTCAACCTGCTGAGTGGAGTTATGGGCATTTGGGGGAAATAAGTCAAGTGAATGGGACCTTTCTGCTTCTCAGAATTTTTTTTTTCCAAAAAGATTAGTTTTAGAAGAATTCACCTAAGTCTACATTTGGCAGCAAATGGGTCACTGTACTAACCTTACATGCTATTTGGTCAGTTATTCACTTGAGAATGATTCCAGGAATATTCCCAAGACAGCGAGATCTGGCTTAGGCTTTTCTAATTCATTTCATAAAATTGCAGAAAAGACCTTAGGTTGGTCTTATAGAATACACATGAAAAAGATGGCCTTTTGAAATTAGTATGGCAACCTCTAGTTTGTTTTTTTTTTTTTTTTTTGGTCACTCCAGTAGTTACCCAAAACCCCTTTATTTCTGAAGTTTTGACATGTCACTTATCTTCTCTATCATCAAATACTTTCATTAACTTTCTCTTCAGAGAATACTATGATGAAATAAGCATTTAGCCTAGCAGTTGCCAGTTGAAACACCCATAGCCCACTTCACAGATCCTGGGTTTAATTCTCAGCTCTGACTCCTGATTCAATTTCCTAACACAGACCCTGGAAGGCACCGGGTGAATAGCCGAAGTAGTGCAGTTCCTGCCACCCACGTGCAAGACCTGAATTGAGTTTTTGGCTCTAGGCTTTAGTCTCTCCCAATTCCAGCAACTGAGAGGCATTTGTGAAGCGAACTAGCAGATGCCAATTCTATATGTCTCTTAAATTAAAAAAAAAATAAAAATAAAAATTAAATCTCTACACTGGAAAAAAGAAAAAAAAATTTATGGTGTATTTTTTCAACAATCCATAATACTTTCTAAATAAGCAACACTTTCTGAATGAACTTTGGTAAGATTTCCATCTACTCTTTAGCAACTTCTAAATGACACATTCATTGCAGCGTAAAAGGTATTCTACTCCTACACAGGTTCTGTTTAGTAAATTCAATATGGGGTGGAAATTAACCACTAATGTACCTATCAAGTTTATAAAAAACACACTGCATCTATACCTTCTCAAAATGCTTCATTTTATATACACTTCTCCAAAGCCTCACAGAGCTGGAATCTTTCTGTAAAAATAACCAAAAGCTGATCAAGTCAGTACTTGGTAATCATACTTAGAAAAGTAAAACCAGTGGTTTTTAATCCTTCCCAGCAGTAGAGTGGTATCATGACTTTAAATATACAAGGGTGCTTTAAGTTTGTGTAAAATGGAATTAAGATGTTTATTTTAATGCAAAATATTTTAAAATCTATGCAGTTCTTTCATAATATGCAATTCCATAACATTTTGAAGACCTTTAATGTGTCTAAAAAGAATACTTACAAAAGGAAAATCTGGAGGGAAAAAAATCCTTAAACATCTCCTGAAATTCAATCACCTGTAGTAGGCTGTATCATGAGTACTCGCACAAGGATTCTTTAAAATTTGCACAAAGAATCAATCGTTTTGGGACATATGTTTTGCCTACTGGTTAGGTGTCCATATCCCATGTTGGAGTGTCTACATCTGAGTCACACACAGCTGCACTCCTAACTCCAACTTCCTGCTAATGTGTACCCAGGGAGGCAGCAGGTTCAGGTACTTGGGTCTCTACCACCCACATGGGAGACCTGAACTGAAAACTTGGCTCCCAGGAATTTGGAGAGTGAATCAGCAGATAGGAGTTGTTTGTCTCTTGTCTCACAAATTAAAAAAAAGACTGACAAGGTTTTGACTTAACACTGTCTCTCCATGATGCACCTATCAAAGCCAACACCGGCCGGCGCCACGGCTCACTAGGCTAATCCTCCGCCTTGCGGCGCCAGCACACGGGGTTCTAGTCCTGGTTGGGGCGCCAGATTCTGTCCCGGTTGCCCCTCTTCCAGGCCAGCTCTCTGCTGTGGCCAGGGAGTACAGTGGAGGATGGTCCAAGTGCTTGGGCCCTGCACCCCATGGGAGACCAGGATAAGTACCTGGCTCCTTGCATCAGATCAGCGCGGTGGACAGGCACAGGCAGCCATTGGAGGGTGAACCAACGGCAAAAAGGAAGACTTTCTCTCTGTCTCTCTCTCTCTCTCACTGTCCACTCTGCCTGTCAAAAAAAAAAAAAAAAAAAAAAAGCCAACACCAAACCTACTAAGAAAAAAGTATTAATATTTTCCAGCTGTGTCCTCTAAATTTTCAAAATAAACGGGTGCTTCAAAAAGTTCATGGAAAATAAAATTAAAATGTTTGATGCAAAAAGATTCTGAAATTCATGCATTTTTTTCTACAATATGCATTTCCTAAGAACTTTTTGAAGGCTCTCTCAAATGCATAGATTTCACTTTTTTTTTGCACCAAAGCACTTACCTTTTAATTCTATTCCCTAATCTCTCTAAAGTACCTTCATATTACTTTCATCTGTATTTATTGATATATATATATATATTTAGTGGGCATCAACATTAAAATCTATGTAGCTGTATTAAGTAATCTCAACTAAAAAATAAATCATAAGTGAGTCAAACTAATCCATTCTGCAAGCATTTGTTCAAATTTTAAGGGTTACAAATTCTTTTGAAGATTAATATAAAATTGTAATTCTCTATCTTTATCACAAGAAATACCAATGATTAAATTTCCAAATGTTTATGTTCCCAGATCCTGTACAGTTACACATAAACCCGTAACAAATTCAAATGCTGTAAAATGCTAGAAAAATGTTTTTAAGTACCAATTCTGAAGTCAACAAAATCATTAAAGCATTACACTGACCTAACAGGACAAGAATTTTATTTTTATAATTTTTATTAACATATGATCATCCTCATGGATCTTACTTGCTGGCCTTTTAAACAAATTTCTAAGGCAATTTCACAATTCATTTAAAGGTTAATACCACACAAGACCTATGGCATTAGCCACTTGACAAAACAAAGGAAAAACTGCTGTCTTAGAAATGTTACTATACTTAAGAGTGGCTCTAGATGAACTCCTCCTATAATCAACCAGTGTGTCTCACATTGCAGGCACATCTTGATTGAGACATGCAAAATGGAGTCTGCCTTGGAGGCTGGTTAACTGGCATGCAGATTTCTGCAGAATTCCATAGTCCCAAAAAGAAGAAATAAACACTGTGGGGCTGACTCTGGCAACACAGGCTTGGACATAAAAGAAAACTTCGCAAGAGCTGTAGTGGTTTACTAGGACAAGCCACTGAAGTTCCTAGGATCCTCAGTCAGCAAACAGCACTCAAATAATTATGAGCTTCCAGGTATGGCAAGACAGGCTTTCAAAGCAGAGGCTATTCCAAATACTGATTGAAACCATCAGTTAGCTTATATAGCATCAGAGTAAATCAACCTAATTTCCCCTAAGTGGCTAAAAATGTGTAAGACTACATTTCAAGGTCATAGTTCATTTCAAATCTATTTTAATAAATCACACATGTACTAATTTGTATGTTCTCTACATGTAATTTTAAACATCTTTGATAATTAAGATAAATTAGTCATGGAAATTAGTAAGTTTAGACAAATTGCATTGGCATTACTGTACCAAGAAAAGGCAGTTCAAAGCTTTAACTGTGAATGAGCATAACAGACACGTAGGGCGTGCATGAGAAATTTGTCTTTGTTGTACTATAAAAGTAAGAAAATATTTTAACATATGTCCAGGTTGATTATTTTTTTCTTTATAAGCAAGGTTTAAACATCTAATTTGATTTCTGACATTCATAATTCTGGTTTGCCTATGTAGACTGGGGAGAATGTTGAGTAAAATTATTAAGCAAACCAAAATGAAAGGTGAGTTTACCTGACCACTTTTCTGTTCTTCAATGAATACATAAGAAAACAGCTTTTTCAACAAAGCAGTACACTCAGTGCTTTGAAGTGAACAGTGACCTAAAGCCTCAGGTCACTGAGAACATAAATGGATTTTCAACTTCAGAGTTTACATGTTTGTTATAATGGGATATGGGTGGATAAAACTAGTCCTCATCAGCATTAAAAGCATTAACTGGAGAAGGAAATGTCTCCAATTTGTTCAATCTATTAACCAAAATTTTTCAGGGAAAAAATAAAGACAAAAGATGTTACAAAGTAAAACAGCATGTATCTGTGAATAATCTGCAATCTATAATTCTGTTAAGAATTATTAAATTCAAAAATCATTTTAATATTATTTCTGGTAAGATCAAATTTAAAATGTAACACTTGGGACTCTTCCTTGTCCAAGGCAGTTAAACAAATCAGGTAATTTATTCTGTGAAATACTCTGCAAATTCCAATTCACAAGTATACAAAGCAGAATTATACTAAAAGGTGCTTACAGATGAAAAACTACAGTAATTCCAATTTGTGCTACCTTGGCAAGGTACTGTACACAAATTATATCAACATAATAGAAATGGCACAGTCTCCGAGGACACTTTCCACATTTTATTTACATTTTATGACTAACTTTAATCTCAAAATCACATATCCATACACCTATTTTCTTTTTTTGTTGACTTCACTTGAACTTAAATGCATGGTTTGTTAAACAAAGAATGTAAACAAATATTTACCATGTCTGTTACATGTAACACACAGGAACAGCTTTTAACAGAAATTCATCGACCCCCCCAACATTTTTTTATTATAAATACAGGTATCAAAACAATCCTGAACATATTTTTATACTACTAGTAGTCAGCACCCACACCGCTTTAAAATTTAACACAATTTGTGACAATATTCATTGTACCTGCTACTTTAAACAATTTCAACTGCAGCTCTTTCACTAAGCAAGATGGATAAAGCATGCCATTTCTGTTTGTCCTTCTTGGAATTTTTACTTTTCAGAAACACACGTTTCCACTGCCATCTCACACGTCTCGCCACGCTTGCGTCTTGTAAACCCGAATCCTACTTGGAGCACTCCAGGTTTATGTTTAAATGACAGTGCCTCAACAAGAGAAAGAAAAATTGTGCTGCATTTTTCCTCCCGTTACCTGAAAACATAATGGGTGTACATATATTAAATATATTACAAATGTCCGGGTCACATATACCAGCTGGAATTCTTTACTGAATGTGTGGGTATTCTGCATTGTGATATTTAATCAAGACATTAATATGAGTAGAAGGTTGTTGATTTAAGACAAGTTTGAGATCCATTAAAATTAATTGTTGTATGTTTGTCCTTCTGGTGGCTGTGGAAGCTTCATATTTTCTTTGGACATCATTAGACGTCTTAGCTCTTGAAGTACAACTTTAATGCTATATGAATTTTGCCATTTTGCTAATACTGGTATGCTCCGTGCATCCACCTGAAATGGGAAAAAATGAGTACAATCAACTACCAAATTTAAAAGTGCAAGAGCATTGATTTTTGTAAACACACTTTACTAAATGTGCTTTTAAAAATTTATAGCCTTGCTCCATATTGAAAAAAAGTATACTATGAAATCACAGATTGAGAATTAATATAGTATTTAGGGAAAATATTCCTTCTTTAATAGATTTTTTCCTAAAAAATCTGGATCTTTTTTCTTTTTCTTTTTATATTTTACAACAAACAATGTGAACTTTGTCAGAAATAAACATTAAGTAATCACTTTGCAAACAAATTTACTAATTCTTTCTTGATGAAATAAAGTTGGAAATGTCCTCTCCATTTCCATTGTTACTATCCAAAATCCAGGCAATTATCTGACACTGACATTTATGTGAGAGTGCTACCTGATCTCTGCTTTCAGATTTTTCTTTCCATTGTATTCTATGCACTACTCTGTGTGGTGGAATGAGAAGGCCATGCCAAGATGGCCGCGGCCAAGGGAGCGTCAGTTACTCAGGAATGGCTTTGAATCCCACCTGGCAACAGGCTGTGATTGGATGGCTTTGAAACCCACATGGCAAACAGAGCCTGCCTGGCAACAGGCTGTGATTGGATGGCTTTGAAACCCACATGGCAAACAGAGCCTGCCTGGCAACAGGCTGTGATTGGATGGCTTTGGAAACTGCCTGGCAACAGGCTGTGATTGGATGGCTTTGGAAACTGCCTGGCAACAGGCTGTGATTGGTTGGGGCATAGACCACCCCTTGACTGGATTGGCTGGTCTTGGCCTTATAAGCTGCCGTACTAACTGAAATAAACGAGTCTGTGGGCTGCTTGCCTCAAGCCTGCTTTCACCCGACTCCCGGGGTCTGTGTGGTGACTCTGAGCCTCTAGCCCCCACCATGCTCCTCCTCTCAGAAACAAATCCACTGCAACATTGTTGAGAAATCAACTGCAACAACTCTGCATTAATATTCCATTGTGAAAGCTACACAGACTGGGAGTGGCCTCAAAGCCCCATTTTTAGGTAACTATCAACACTCGGCCTCCCTGAGGTTCCCTGCAAAACTCCACTCTCAAAGCCTTTCTAGATTTGGTCTCACAGCTCACTCATTGAGGAACTGCTTGTTCTTCCCTACATCCTACTCTGGGTGTTTTCAGTAACAACTGGGGTAAAAAGGAAAGTGATCAAAATATGTAATCAGAAAAGCTGGGAAATGACATGTCCCTAGAGGAACTGAACAATCCCAACACATAACTAGGAATCTGTAAGATCACACAAATGTACAGGGTTGTGCACAGGCTCACAAAAGTCCTGAGAAGATTATAAGCTCTCATTTATGGCTGACCACAAGCAACAAATGGAATTTCTACAATATATTTGAGAGGTTCAATTTAAACATGTCAATCAACATAATATGCCATATTAATAAAGAACAAAACCAATGATCATCTCAATATATGCAACAACAAAAAAGGGCTTGACAAAAATCCAGTAACCCTTTATGTGGGCAAAGGTAGATTGTGTGGTAGATAGCTTTTAAAATGGCTCCTGATATTCATGCCTTATGTAATCTCTCCCCTTCAGTATGGGCTAGACCTTTTCTTGTTAATTTGTATAAATACAAAAAGCTGTGCACTATTAACATAGATTGCAGTTGTGTATGCATCCATGAAACTAACACCACAATCTAAGCTATAAACCTACTCATCAACTGCAAAGGCTATCTCCTGCTTATTATTTTTGTGTATCTGTAGTGATTTGCTTCTAATGAATACAGTATTTGGATGTCATTTCTAATGTTAAATCATATCTGATTTTAAAAAGCTCTGGCTCCCACCTCACTCTTGTTTTCTTTCACCTACTTGCACAAGATGGATGGTTTTTTGTTTTTTTTTTTTTTTTTGACAGGCAGAGTGGACAGTGAGAGAGAGAGACAGAGAGAGAAAGGTCTTCCTTTTGCCGTTGGTTCACCCTCCAATGGCCGCCGCTGCAGCCGGCGCACCGCGCTGATCCTGGCAGGAGCCAGGATCCAGGTGCTTTTCCTGGTCTCCCATGGGGTGCAGGGCCCAAGCACCTGGGCCATCCTCCACTGCACTCCCTGGCCATAGCAGAGAGCTGGCCTGGAAGAGGGGCAACCGGGACAGAATCCGGCGCCCCAACCGGGACTAGAACCCGGTGTGCCGGCGCCGCAAGGTGGAGGATTAGCCTATTGAGCCACGGCGCCGGCTCAGGATGGATGGTTTTAACTGCCCTCCCTATGTGGCATGGAACCCTATGAGGGGGTCTCTGGGCAACAGCCTGAGAGAAACTGAGGTTCATCCTAGCTGTTTCAGGCATTTAGAGAGTGAGTCAGCAGATCTCTCCCTGTCTGTGTCTCTTCCAAATAAATGAAAATAAATTTTAAAACACAATGAATTACCACTTCACACACACTAGAATGGCTACAATCAAAAACACATACAGTAACAAGTGTCAGCAAGAAAGCAGAATGTGGAACCTTCCTACACTGCTGATAGTAATCTAAGATGGCTAACCATGTTGGTCAAGAGTCTGGCAGTTTCTCCAAAAATAAAACACACAGTTACCTATGATCTAGCAATTCTACTCCTAAGTATCTACTCAAAAAAAAAGAAAATATTTGCACACACATTTATACACAAATGTTCACGGCATCACTATTCATGATAGCCAAAAGTGGAAAGATAAAGATGTCCGTTGGATGTTAAATGGATAAAAAAGCATGATACATACATACGTTGGCATATTATATCCAGCAAAAAAGAATAAATTACTGATACATACTATAGCACAGATGAACCTTGAAAATATTGTATCACAAAATAACATGTTATTGTATGATCCTGTTTATATCAAATGTCCAAAACAGACAAATCTATAAAGACAGAAAGCACATTAGAGTAGGTGTTTAGGGTGAGGTGGTATGGGAAATGACAACTAATGGGTACAGATTTTCTTTGGGAAAAAAAAATGTTCTAAAACTGGATTGTGGTAATGGATCCACAATTCTCTGGATTCTAAAAAAAAAAAATAAAAAAACACTGTATACTTTAAATGAATGAATTGTATGAAAGGTGAATTATAACACAATAAAAGTATTTAAAAACAGAAAATCGGCCGGCGCCGTGGCTCAATAGGCTAATCCTCCGCCTTGCGGTGCCGGCACACCGGGTTCTAGTCCCGGTCAGGGCGCCGGATTCTGTCCCGGTTGCCCCTCTTCCAGGCCAGCTCTCTGCTGTGGCCAGGGAGTGCAATAGAGGATGGCCCAAGTCCTTGGGCCCTGCACCCCATGGGAGACCAGCAGAAGCACCTGGCTCCTGGCTTCGGATCAGCGTGATGCGCCAGCCACAGCACACTGGCCGCAGCGGCCTTTAGAGGGTGAACCAAAGGCAAAAGGAAGACCTTTCTCTCTGTTTCTCTCTCTCTCTCACTGTCCACTCTGCCTGTCAAAAAATAAAAAATAAAAATAAAAACAGAAAATTAATCTTAGTTGATACTTCTCTTTGTAATTAAAATAAGAAAATGTGATGTTAAGATGTTTTTAAAATGCTGCCTCTAAAGCTTTAGTTAGAAGAGCAGCAATCCCTTTGCCTATTCTAAACAGACTCCACAACTGAACAGCAGTTTATAAAATAAGTGCAGAGAATACCAAGCTATTTCCAAAGTAGAAACAAACACTCCCAACTGCAAATGGTAGTAAAATAAACCTAAGTGATTGCAAATCCTGTGAAATACCAACAGTGCACAAAAAAACTGGAGGAAAAAAAGAACAAAAAATATGTAGAAAAATGAGAGAAAAAAGCATGAGAAAATAAATATTATGTCAGAACAAAACCTGCATCTTATCAGACTATAATATACAGGAACCTCCAAAACTTGGACCTCACAGTATAAAGTACTGTAATTTATGTTTTACATTGCTAACCACCCACAAGGAATCAATTTTCCTAGTTGTATTAAATAGATATAAACAAGAATTACTGCTTGTGAAATACCATTTATCAGGTACTTAAACAGATTCAAAATACATAAAACTATCATGGCATAATCACCAACGGCTAGCAAGAAATTCTGCACTAGTTACTGGTTATAAAAATAACAATCCTTTGGGGCTGGCACTGCAGCAAAGTGGGTAAAGCTGCAACCTGCAATGACGGCATCCCATATGGGTGCTGGTTCAAGTCCCAGCTGCTCCAGCTCTCTGCTATGGCCTGGGAAAACAGTGAAGAATAGCCCAAGTACTTGGGACCCTGCACCTGTGTGGGAGACCCAGAAGAAACTCCTGGCTTCTGGCTTCGGATCAGCGCAGCTCCAGCCATTGAGACAACTGGGGAGTGAACCAGCGGATGGAAGACCTCTCTCTCTGCCTCTCCTTCTCTCTGTGTAACTCTTTCAAATAAATAAATAAATCTTTTAAAAAAAATAAATAGGCCGGCGCCGTGGCTCAATAGGCTAATCCTCCACCTTGCGGCGCCGGCACACCGGGTTCTAGTCCCAGTCGGGGTGCTGGATTCTGTCCCGGTTGCCCCTCTTCCAGGCCAGCTCTCTGCTATGGCCAGGGAGTGCAGTGGAGGATGGCCCAGGTGCTTGGGCCCTGCACCCCATGGGAGACCAGGAAAAGCACCTGGATCCTGGCTCCTGCCAACGGATCAGCGCGGTGCGCCGGCTGCAGCGGCGACCATTGGAGGGTGAACCAACGGCAAAAGGAAGACCTTTCTCTCTGTCTCTCTCTCTCACTGTCCACTCTGCCTGTCAAAAAAAAAATAAAAATTAAAAAAAATAAATAAATAACAATCCAAATTTTTAGCTATCAAAAGAAAAACTGATGTCCAATACATACACACTACTCCCACCTCTCTCTCTATATATATACCTATACTCATACAACTAAAATCAGTATTTATTTTACTGTACTGCAGTCTCCTTTACAGAATGACATTTGGAGAAGGAACCAGCAGATGGAAGATCTTTTTTTTTTTTTTTTTTTTTTTTTTTTTCTGGACAGGCAGAGAGGACAGTGAGACAGAGAGAAAAGCAAGGTCTTCCTTTTGTTCCGTTGGTTCACCCTCCAATGGCTGTTGCGGCCGGCGCGCTGCAGCCAGTGTACCATGCTGATCCGAAGCCAGGAGCCTGGCACTTCCTCCTGGTCTCCCATGCGGGTGCAGGGCCCAAGCACTTGGGCCATCCTCCACTGCCTTCCCAGGCCACAGCAGAGAGCTGGCCTGGAAGAGGAGCAACCGGGACAGAACTGGCATCCCAACCGAGACTAGAACCCGGAGAGCTGGTGCCGCAGGTGGAGGATTAGCCTATTGAGCCATGGCGCCTGCCAGAAGATCTTTCTTTCTTTAGAGCTCTGCCTTAGAAATAAATAAAAATGAATAAACATCTTTAATTTGAACTTGTATTTTGTGTCTTTATTTCATTTTTCTAAAAATGCTCTTTTATTGTATATTTTTAAAGTATTGATCCACACAGATTAGAAATAAATAAACCGGGGCCAGGGTTGTGGCGTAGTGGGTAAAGCCGCAGCCTGAAGTGCCTCCATCCCATATGGGTGCCGGTTCAAGTCCCAGCTGCCCCACTTCCGATCCAGCTCTCTGCTATGGACTGGGAAAGCAGTAGGAGATGGCCCAACTCTTTGGGCCCTTGCACCCGCGTGGGAGACCCAGAAAAAGCTCCTGGCTCCTGATTGGCACAGCTCCAGCTGTTGCGGCCAATTGGGGAGTGAACCAGAGGATGGAAGACCTCTCTCTCTCCCCCTCCCTCCCTCTCCTTCTCTCTCTCTGTGTAACTCTTTCAAATAAATAAATAAATCTTTAAAAAAAAAAAAAAGAAAGAAAGAAAAAGAAAGAAACCAACTAATGGCACCTTGAGAAGCACAGCCCTAGGTTAGAGTACTAGTATAAGAATATTCACTGAAGAAATCCTTTCAGTGGAAACTGAAAACAAACGAGATGCCCAGTAAGTGAGAATGGAATATTATGCAACAAAAACAAGCAATTTAACTTGAATGATTCAACATAGATGAAGTTGAAAATCACCAACATGAATATGATACCAAAGTGCTACATGCACATGTGCATAGTGAAAGAGCAGTAATCTTGTACAGAACTATTAAACACCAAGTCCAAGACTACCTCTGTGGAAAGAGGAAAGAGAAACAAGAAAAAGGCACACAGAGAGTTAGCTCCAAGCATAATATGGTATTTGCAATAAAAAGATTTGTGACAAATAAAACAAATGTTAGGATTTGGCAAAGCTAGGTGGAAGATACATAGATGTTGGTTACATTATTTTCATCTATATGTTACAAAACAGTTTTCTTTTTTTTTAAATACTTTATCCATTTGAAACATAGAGTGACAGAAAAAGAAAGAGATCCTCTATCTTCTGGTTCACTTCCCAAATGACTACAAAGGCCAAGGCTGGGCCAGGCTGAGGCCAGAAGCCTATAATTCCATTTGGATTTACCATATGGGTGGCAGGGGCCCAACCACTAGGGACCATCCTCTGCTGGATCAGCCAGGCTCAAACCAGCACTCTGATATAGGATGCCAGCATATCAGGCAGCAGCTTAACCCACTGTGCCACAATGCCAGCCCCTGGAAATTATTTCTTTTAAAAACACCATAAGTAAAACCAAGAGTAAAATAAAATGAGTAACACAGTGTCTACAGCAGAATAAACTAAGGAATTTAATTCAAACTGGGGAGTCAGAAATAACATATCTCAGAAAGTAACGTTTATTTACAGTGAGAAGTATGTGAGAAACCCATGGGGACTGACCAGACTGGGAAAAGAGATGTCCAGACAGGCTGAAAAGAGAAAAGTGCAAAAGCCCAAGGCCAGTTGAAAAGCATGCAGGAGCTCCCAAAGAGCCATGGTAAGAAGCAGGTATACTGAGGCTGAAGTCTTAAAAGGACACAGTGGTGCAGCGGGTAAAGCTGCCGGCTGCAGTACTGGCATCCCATATGGGCGTCGGTTCGAGTCCCAGCTGCTCCAATTCCAACTGAGCTCTCTGCTATGGCCTGGGAAATCGGCAGAGGATGGTCCAAGTCTCTTGGGACCCTGCCCAGTGTGTGGGAAACCAGGAGGAAGCTCCTGACTCCTGGCTTCAGATCAGCACAGCTCAGGCCGTTGTGGCCACCTGGAGAGTGAACCAGTGGATGGAAGACCTCTCTCTCTCTCTCTCTCTCTGCCTCTGCCTCTGCCTCTGCCTCTCTGTAACTCTGCCTTTAAAATAAATAAATCAATCTTTAAAAAAAAAAAAGTATAACCAGAAAAGTTGTTAGAAGAATCCAGACAAGGTCAACATTCATGGCAGCAAAGTAAACAGAAATGTAAGACCTGACTCAAGTTACATGTGGAACATAAAACTGCTAAGACTTAATTTAATAAATGAACTGAGGGAAGGAGGCAAAATGTCAAAAACGACCAGAGGCCCATGAGATCAAGGAAAGCTTGCAAGACGTAGGTCTGAAATTTAATCTAGAATTTCTCAGCTCCCACAACAACACAGAACCCATCACTAGTTACTTAATTTACAGAAGCTATAATATAAACATAAACCAGTAGTTGAGAAGAACACCTATGTCTAGTAGAGAAAGCTAACAAAATAGCTTTCTCATAGAGAATACTGTGTAATAAAAGAAATTCCCTAAACAATATCCTTCCTGTAAATTCAAATGCTTCATGGTCCAGTTTCCATCAAATCTCTAATAAATATTAGACCATAAAGAAATAGATAAATGTGCACATTATAATTTCTAAAATAACCACTGAAAGAACACAGAAATTGAAAAAAAAAATGAGAATCATTCCAAAAGTAGACAAGAAACGGCAGGAAAATAGAAACCACGAACTAAGATGATCTATTTGAACCTGAACATATTGGTACTGTATATTAAATCTACTCAAACTAAATGTTCCCAGTAAATCAAAAACACTGAGGCTGCAGAGGAACCTCTCAGGAACCAGCTCTGAATTAGCCCACAGAGTGAAAGAGGAGGTACAGAAAATGGCCAGGCAGGTCCAGCCAGGGCTGAGGGTTCTCATGACCTTTTCTACCTCCTCCTTCTTCAAGGTCATACCTTGGGGTCAGTGTGCCCAGCAGGGAGGCACCAGTCGCTCTGGAGGCTAGTCTTGGATCTGTTTATTAGGCAGTGGTAAGGGAGTAAAGGGTTGGCTGTGAGGCTTGTTGCCACAAGTGTGGGTCACATGCAGGAGGAATTAAGCAAATAAGTAAATGCACTGGGGAAAATGGGGGACATGTTTCTCAATGCTGAAGGAGGTAATTACAAATATGGAAAAGAAATCTAGAATAAACCCTGCAAAGGTATTGGAATAGATTTGGAGGTATTAGTACAACTTGTCATTTTTAATAGATAGTGGACCGATAGGCAGAAGGAAAAAGGGAGGGAGAAAACTGAGAGGATGAATATGTATACACATATCTTAGAAGTACAAAATACATTTTCTTACATAATACGATAATAAGCCAGTAGTTGAGAATAGCTATGTCTGGTAGTGAGGACTTGTGCAGGGAGAGGGAACACAGGGGTGGGAAGAGGGGAAGTCAAGGATACTGACAGCATCTTATCCCTAAAATGATGACCATTTTACCCATGATGTTACTTTGCTTCTTAACATGTACTCTGCAAGTGAATGTGCTGGTGACACAGGTGCCCGGGCTTCAAGGTCTTAATATGAACACTACAAGCTACTTCTACTAGAAACTTAAAATTTCCATTCATTTGTGTGGGTCAGGTACAGCCTGTCATTTTGGTTTATTTGCTTTAAAGAAATGACCATACCCAGCCATGACTGTTCTAATATAGACATACTTGTTCCCCAAAGAAAAACTCATTCATGAATATTCATCCTCTTACTCTCATCAAAAGTACTTAACCCTAAGAAAAATAACATTCAAAAAGAAATAATGATCATCTTTTCACGAAATACATTTTGGGCCAAAATATGACTACTGAAATAATTAGAAAAACCCCAAGAAAAGTGCCACCATCACATCCACCTAGGTAGGTACATTAAAGTTTTAATGATAGCCTGACTTAAAAAAAAAATACGACAAACTTCTTCAGACTTTCAAACAAGAATTTTTTTTTGAAAAACAAAAGCATTTTTGAAAAACTTTTTTTTGGAAAGCTAAACAAAAGTTTTCAAACACTGTCTCTTGACAATAGTTTATGTATTATGTAAGAATAAAATGACTATTATAACTTACCATTCCACTGGAATTATTTATCCCATTCATATTAATTTTTGTTACAAATCTAACTGATGGAGGAGCTTCTGGGTATTTAGGTCCACATTCTACTTTCAGGCTATATATTCTGTTCTCATAATTTGTCTGGAAGGCAAAAAGAGAGGATAATCAAAATTACAATACCTAAAATAGTAATGTCTAAGTGATAATAAAGTGATGAAGTACAGTATGACTGTACATGATGAGAGTGTTTATGACTAAGAACTTAGTTTTGGGGGTCACCAAGTGGCACCAGCATGCCCTATAGGCACCGGTTTAAGTCCCAGCTGCTCCACTTCCCATCCAGCTCCCTGTTAATACTTCTGGGAAAACAGCAGAAGACAGCCCAAGTGCTTGGGTCCCTGTACCTTCATGGGAGACCTGGGCTCCTGGCTCCAGATAAGCTCAGAACCAGTAGACAGAAGATATCTTGGGGCCGGCACTGTGGTGCAGCAGGTTAATGCCTTGGCCTGAAGCGCCGGAATCCCATATGGGTGCTGGTTCAAGACCTAGCTGCTCCACTTCCGATCCAGCTCTCTGCTATGGCCTGGGAGGATAGCAGTAGAAGACAGCCCAAGTCCTTGGGCCCCTGCACCTGCATGGGAGACCTGGAAGAAGCTCCTGGCTCCTGGCTTCAGATTGGCACAGTTCCAGTCATTGCGGCCAACTGGCGAGTGAACCATCGGATGGAGGACCTCTCACTCACTCTCTCTCTGCCTCTCCTCTGTGTAACTCTGACTTGCAAATAAATAAATATATCTTTAAAAAAAAAAAGAAGATATCTCTCTTTCTCTCGTTGTAACTCTGCCTTTCAAATAAACTAATTCATTTTTTAAAAAACTTAGTTTTCTATATTCAAATTTATCTGACATATATGGTTAGAAAAAAATGTAGCAAGCATACTTAAAAGTAGATGAACTACAAAGAAAGAAAACCACTTATATTTAAATTTTCAGTAAAGCGTTTACATTGTGGGAGGAGGTACCCCTTAATTTGTCACATACATATGAAGGTTCCTGTGTCTCAGGATAGTCTGTTCCTATTGTCTCAGTATTAATTAATAGTACCTCTTTTCATTCTCAAAAGGGTCTCACTGGGTAACAAATTCATAGTCACCTATGTATAAAGCAATCAGTAACTTATAACCAAAGGAAAATATACTGTCATATTTTATTATAGCCATAAATTCATTACAGGTTATACTACATTACTGTTTCATTAATTTTGTGGTTCATTAAATCCTCTTATCTGAATTCAGACATACAACAGCAAACCTTATGCTTATATAGCATTTTAAAGCAGTTTCTTAATTACAAAGTTTAATTAATATTACTTCCTTATAAAAAGCTATTTCAGGATATAAATATGTGACTAAAATCAGACAGATCACAAAAGATCACCTTATCTCTGCTTCTCCAATCCAGATGCATAGACTCTTCATAGAAAAGCATTTAAAAAAATAACATCCTCCCACACCTCAAAACTCTAAAACATTAAAAATACTTGAGGGGCCAGTATTGTGGCAAAGCAGGTAAAGCTACTGCCTGCAGCGTCAGCATCCCATATGGGCACTGGTTCGAGACCCAGCTGCTTCACTTATGATCCAGCTCTCTGCAGTGGCCTTGGAAAGCAGTAGAACATGGCCCAAGTCCTTGGACTGCACCCATGAGAGAGACCTTGAAGAAGCTCCTGGCTCCTGGCTTCGAATTGGCTCAGCTCCAGCCGTTGCAGCCAACTGGGCAGTGAACCAGCAAATGGAGACTCTCTCCCTCTCTGCCTCTTCTTCTCTCTTTCTTTCAAATAAATAAATAAATCTTTAAAAAAAAAATACTTGAAGTATTTGGAAACAATATGGGTTCAAGTACCAGCTCCACTCCCAATTTCAGCTTCCTGCTAATGTGCACCCTGGGAAGCAGCAGGTAATGGCTCAAATGGATGGATCCCAGACAGGAAATCCAGATTGAATTCCCAGCTCCTAGCTTTGACCTGGCCCAGCCCTAGATGTTGTGAGCATCTGGGAGTAAACCAGCAGATGGGAGCTTTATCTGTTTCGCACTTAAAAAGAAACAAACAAAAAATCCTTATCCTACCTATTAGAAATAAACATCACACTAAGTCTGAAACCTTTGATTAATTTTATCAATTCTAAACTTTAAATTAACAATCAAGTCTTTCTGTTGCATAACAAAAGGCCAGAGCAAAATAAAAAAGGAAAAAAGGAACTACAATTTACTAAGCACTTTTCTTTTGTCTCATTTAATTTTCACACTTTCTTGAGACTGACTGATTTCAAAGGCAGAAGTTAGAAAGAGGAGAGAGAGAAGAAAAGAGAGAAGAAAGAGACTGATACTACTCCATTCACTGATTCACTCCCCAAATGGCCACACTGCCAGGGTCAAGGCAGGCCCAAGCCAGGAGCTTGGAACTCCATCAGGTCTCCCTTGTGAGTGGCAGGGGTCCAAGCACTCTGGCCATTTTCTGCTGCTTTCCCAGGTGCATTAACAGGGAGCTGGATAGGAAGTGCAGTAACCAGGGACTCTGACTGGCATTCATAGGACGTCAGCATCACAGGTGATGGCTTAACCCGCTGCATCACCACACTGACTTCTAAAAATGGGTATATAGCACCTCTATTTACATATGAGAAAACTTGGAAGAGTTCCTACAATTATAATACCAAAAAAGCATTGTTTCAGAACACTGAACACACAAACACACCAGAAATGAAACTGCCGGGGCTGGCACTGTGGCATGGCAGATAAAGCCATCACCTGCAACGCCAGCATATATGGGATGCCAGTTCATGTGTCCCTGCTGCTCCACTTTCAATCCAGCTCCTGTCTAATGGCCTGGAAAAAGGAGCAAAAGACGGTCCAAGTGTTTGGGCCCCTGCCACCTACATGGGAGACCCAGATGTAGCTCCTGGCTTCGGCCTGGCCCAGTGCTGGGCATTGCAGCCACCTGGGGAGTCAACCAGTGGGTAGAAGGTTATCTTTCTCTTTGGGGAGTCAACCAGTGGGTAGAAGGTATCTTTCTCTTTCAAAATAAATAAATACATCTTTAAAAAAATTAATCAAGCCTGCATCGTGGTATAGCAGGTAAAGACACCGCCTGAGATGCCAGCATCCCTTATGGGCGCTGGTTTGAGATCTGGCTTCTCTGCTTCCGATCCAGCTCCCTGCTAATGCACCTGGGAAGAGCAAAGGAAGACAGCCCAAGTGTTGAAGCCCCTGCCACCCACATGGGAGATACAGATGAAGCTTCTGGCTTCAGCCTGGCTCAGCCCTTGTGGTTGTAGTCTGGGCAACAAACCAGCAGATGGAATCAATCAATCTCTCTTCCCCTTTCTTTCTCTCTCTCTCTCTCTCTCTCTCTCTCTCTCTCTCCTTCTCTTTCTGTAACTCTTATTTTCAAATAAATAAATCTTAAATCAAACCAATACCAGTTTTAAACTGGTATTCTTCCCAACAAGTCAAAAACATTACATAATGCACATTTCAAAGACTCACTGCAGTGTCTGCAGTGGTCAGGGACCTTGGAGGAGGTAATGCAATGTAAGAGAAAGCTTCCTAATCTAGAAAAAAGGTTTTGAATAAAATCAAAACTTCATAAGCATGAGAAAGACCTAAAACTAACATACAAAGGGCCAGTTGCCAATGGTAATACTAGAAAATATTAAGAATCATAGGTTTTTAAGATCAACAAATTGAAGCCTATAGTGTTTCATGGCATGTGAAACACTGGAAGGCAATAGCAACATGTACTCAATACAAACCAATTCAGAAACCCCTGTTACACACAAGGGGTTAGTAACATGTATGTCAGAATGATTGCTCTTCCCAAATAACCCCTCCAGGTCCTCACCTTTTTTCCTCTCTATCTGGAATGTTCTCCATTCCCATCACCACCTTCTGAAATCCTACCAGTGAGTCCTTTAAGGTTTATTCCAAAGGCAACTTTCTCCACTGTTCAGCTTTCCTCAATTATTCCAGCTAGAAGAAACATATTCTAAAGTCCTGTAGTGAACCTGTTCTGCCAAATCAGCATCTGTTATTAATACAAATAACAGATACAGACTTTTTTCTCCTCTACTAAACCACAAATACCTTGATGGCAAGCCTGTATCAATCTCCCCCTCCCCAATCCTCCAGATAATCATTATACCCCACACACAGGAAGCATTAGTAAATGGAATTATTTCAGGTAAAAGTTACATTTATTTTAATATCAATAGTGTAAAACTAAATGGTCATTCTAAAATAACTATACATATATATATAAACAGAAAGAATATATAATTTATAGCACTGACCCTTGGTGGCCCAATAATCATGCCTGTCCACCTTGTAAGTGTCATATCTTCATCATCTTCAAGGCCCCAGCTAACCGTACCATCGCCTACTCCTTTTTGTCCTTCTTCAAGTTCTTCCAACAAGCGAAAATTACGAGGAACTTTAACTCCTATACAAAAGAACGTCAATGTAAATATAAAAAGCTTGTAACTGTAAGAGGTACACATATTTAAAATGCATTTTTTCCAGGTCAACCCTTACAAATTATTTCCCCAAAAGACAAAATTCTCATTAAAAATCACTCTTCCCTAGAAAATGCGAAGTCTAATAACCCCTCAAAATAAAAACATTACAGAAAGTACCACTTTAAACATTAACAGTGCAGAGCATGTATATAAATTCCTACTTAAACTGTCATAAATCAATCATAAGGAAATCATCATAAAGTAATCATTTTCCCTACTGGAGGTTTCTTTGCCTAGTCAAGGACAGAAATAAATATGCAGGGGGATGCCCTTTGGCACAGTAGATTAAGATTCCAGATCAGAGCACAGATTAGAGTCCCAGCTGTCCCACTTCCAACAGAGATCCCTGCTAATGCAACTGGGAAGGCAGCACAAGATGATCCAAATGCTTGTGCCCTTACCACCCACGTGATGGAGCTACAGGTTCCTGGCTTCCTCCTGGTCCATCTCTGGCTGTTAAGCCATTTGTGGGGTAAACCAGCAAATGCACAATCTCCCTCACTTTCTCTCTGTCACTCCCTCTCTCTGTCACTCTTTCAAATAAATAAAAGGAATAGGCATGACCAGAAAGTTCATAAAAGCTGAAATTCGTTAATATACACTCTGTAATCATTTTTAAAAAGTAGAATTATGCTCCATTTTACAAACTGCACCAAAAAGTAGTGTCTTTTAAATTGCCAAGGGTGCTCTTTCAACTGGTAAGGACCCTTACCCCTAGCCAATGATGCCTTGTCTTGGCATGTCACAGCAGCTCTGTCAGCAGCATCATTTGAGGAGTTAGCTGACTCATGAGCAAATAGACTAACAGTTCCCTATATTATTCTCTTCACTTCCTTGTCCAACACAGCAAACTCTTCACCAACTATTAACTGTTCTCAGATGCTGACTCCATGCCATACACGTTTCTACTCTTTATACCATATCGCTCCTTACTGTATTCCTAAAATCTTAACATCTTGCCGAGAATGTCCTCCCCTTTCACATTTCCCACTCCTTCATTCTCACTGACCCTGGTCTTTGCCATCATTGTGACCTTCAATCCCTGGAAGCTACCCATAATTCTTTCAATTTTCCACAAATTTCCTTTCCAAGGATTAATAACCTGACCCCTCTACCAAAGGAGTCTTCCGCGTTCTCAACAGCCTCTGACACAAAACCTCCAAGCCATCACACAAGTCTTAAAAAAATATGTAAATGCCCTCAGAATACTCTCCATCTCAATTTCTCTTTCTCTCTCACACACACAAATTATAAAGCAGAAAGAAAAAACTGTTATCTCCTTAAAAGAAACTGCTGGTTTTTTTTTTTCACTTTTCTCCCACAAAACCAAAATATCTTTCACTTACTAATCCATAGTAATTCTCCTGATTATATAATGAAAAACCAGTAAGTACTGTAACTCAAAAAAAAGAGAAAACTCACTAGCCACTCTGTGTGCTGTGCTTCATTAAACAAAATATTTGAAAATCATAGGCCACAGAAATATGGAGTTATTGTAAATGACAGTAAAGAGTCACTGCAATTACTATGATTATCAACAATTTGTTGATACCGTTTGTGTACTCTAAGTGCCATCCCACATAATCATCCATTTAATCCCAAAAGCCAAAACTGAAGTGATATAACCTCCCCAAGATCACACAGCTCTAAGTGGCAGGTTCACAATAAGATGCAGTTCTAAGACCACAGCCATGCTATTTATAACCAAGCTGCACCAAGCTACCAGTGACACAGGCAGCCCGTCATGGATCATCTAGAATCAGGCTGCCCAGTGTTATTCCAGTTGTGCCATTTGCCCGACAGGTGACTTCAACACAGTCATCTTATCCATAAAAATGGGATAATGATTTCTACTGCACAGAATCAGTCTGAAAATTAAATTACGTAATCTACTTTAAACACAGTAAATGTCAACTATGATCATTTTAGGGTCTAGATTAAACATATTACATAAAACTTCTATTTCTTGGGGCTAGTGTTGTGGCATGATGGCTTAAGCCACCTCCTGTTAAAACTCCTGCTCCACTTTCTGATCCAGCTCCCTGTAGATGGCCTAGGAAAAGCAGAAGATGGCTCAGATCCTTGGGCCCCTGTACCCATGTGGGAGACCCAGAAGAAGCTCCTGGCTCCTGTCTGATTGGCCCAGCTTCAGTCACGACGGCCATGTGGGGAGTAAGCCAGAGGCTCGAAAGCCTTTCTCTCTAAGTCTCCCTCTCTTTGTAACTCTACCTCTCAAATTAACAGGTGAATCTTTAATGGGGGGGAAAAAGTCTTTGTAAATTCCTGTAGGATGGTCTCTATAAATTTTTTTTTCTTTTTTTTTTTTTTCTTTTTGGACAGGCAGAGTGGACAGTGAGAGAGAGAGACAGAGAGAAAGGTCTTCCTTTTGCCATTGGTTCACCCTCCAATGGCCGCCGCTGCCGGCGCGCTGCGGCCGGCGCACCGCGCTGATCCGATGGCAGGAGCCAGGAGCCAGGTGCTTTTCCTGGTCTCCCATGGGGTGCAGGGCCCAAGCACTTGGGCCATCCTCCACTGCACTCCCTGGCCACAGCAGAGGGCTGGCCTGGAAGAGGGGCAACCGGGACAGAATCCGGCGCCCCGACCGGCACTAGAACCCGGTGTGCCGGCGCCGCTAGGCGGAGGATTAGCCTAGTGAGCCGCGGCGCCGGCCTGGTCTCTAGAAATTTTATCCTAAACACTTTTTATTTAAATTACAACAACGTTAATTTTTTTCTGTAGATGTATTTTTATAGACATAATTTCCAAACCTTATTGCTATTGAATTTTCTTTTTCTTTTTACTGAGAATTGTTTTGCTCAGGGGTTTTTTTCTTTCATTTATTAAAAAGTCAGAGAGCAATGGAGGAGGAGGGTGAGGGAGGAAAGAGACAAAGATATAGAGAGAGATCATCTACCTGCTGGTTCACTGAACAACCGCCCACAACAACTGGGGCTAGACCAGATGAAGCCAGGAGCCCAGAAGTCAACCCAAGTTTCCAACGTGGGTCGTAGGGACCCAAGTACTTGAGTCATAATCCACTACCTCCCATCATCTGTGCGTTACCAGGAAGCCATCAGAATTAGAGCTATCACTTGAACACAGGTACTCTGATACAGTATATAGACATCCTAAGTGGCAGTTTAATCACTGTGCCACAATGCCCACCCCTTGAATTGCTTTATAAAGTAATCTTTTTTTTTTTAAAGAACCTTTTTTTTAAATTTTTTTATTTATTTATTTTTTTGACAGACAGAGAGGACAGTGAGAGAGACAGACAGAGAGAAAGGTCTTCCTTTGCCGTTGGTTCACCCTCCAATGGCTGCCGCAGCCGGCACGCTGCAGCCGGCGCACCGCGCTGATCCGAAGGCAGGAGCCAGGTGCTTCTCCTGGTCTCCCATGGGGTGCAGGGCCCAAGCACTTGGGCCATCCTCCACTGCACTCCCTGGCCACAGCAGAGAGCTGGCCTAGAAGAGGGGCAACTGGGACAGAATCCGGTGCCCCGACCGGGACTAGAACCCGGTGTGCCGGCGCTGCAAGGCGGAGGATTAGCCTGTTGAGCCGCGGCACCAGCTATAAAGTAATCTTTAAAAAGCTTCATTACCCTTGCTATTGCAAAGCCATCCCCAGATAATTCTCTTAAATTTGTACTGAATTTCTTTGCCTCCTATTTATAATCAATCCAGTCAAGTGACCTTTATGAGTTCCTAAAACTACAAAGTAAACAATGTAAAATTAGTGTTTCCTTTTACCTAAATGCCATAAAAGTGCCTAACCTAGTTATTGCTAAACTTTTGACCATGTCTCCATATAGCATTTTGGAAATACAGTCTTTTTTTTTTTTTTTTTTTTGACAGGCAGAGTGGACAGTGAGAGAGACAGAGAGAAAGGTCTTCCTTTGCCGTTGGTTCACCCTCCAATGGCCGCCGCGGCCGGCGCACTGCGGCCGACGCACCACGCTGATCCGATGGCAGGAGCCAGGAGCCAGGAGCTTTTCCTGGTCTCCCATGGGGTGCAGGGCCCAAGCACCTGGGCCATCCTCCACTGCACTCCCTAGCCACAGCAGAGGGCTGGCCTGGAAGAGGGGCAACCGGGACAGAATCCGGCGCCCCGACCGGGACTAGAACTCGGTGTGCCGGCGCCGCTAGGAGGATTAGCCTAGTGAGCCGCGGCGCTGGCCTGGAAATACAGTCTTAAGAGTCATAGACCAAGTCCTGGCAATGCTAATGTTAAAGAATGACAGCTAAAGATCATTTATTTGGAAAATGTGAGATTCAAAACCAAATACCCAGTAAGCTAGAGCACCTTGGTCCTCTGGCACCTAACCACCAAAGCCTGTGAAGAGCAAAAGGCCAGAAGATAGGAATGTTGCTCCACAAAAGCTGCACTGTGCATGCATGAGGTACCCGCTGTGTCTTCAGAATCAGGCAATCATTACATCATTACAGATTATTTAGTCACCAAACCAAGAATCCAAGCCTCCAGGTTCCTCACTAATCATTTTCCAGTTAGGACATAACAATGAATCGCCACTCACACTTGTACAACTCATAAACAAAACCTTGACGGCAAATATGCTTCCAGTTATTAATCTGAAGGATTATCTGACTCTCAATTATTTGCCTTTAATTCCAATATACACCCCCCCAAAAAAGGCAATAAAGACTGACGGGAAAAAAAAAAACACCAGGAGAATGAGTCTTGCCATATTATGCTTACTAGGAACAAGGATTTTCTAGTTTTAAAGCAAACTTTTTACCTTTTTCAAGTTAACAGGAGAAAAACACAGAAATAGAAGCTTGAAAAGACATTTTTAAATATTAGTCTTGTTGGGTAACAGGTCCAAGGAGACTTCACCTTTTTTGACTATTTGATCACAGGCTTCTGCCACTCTTCAACAAACCTGAGGGGACACCCTGCTAAGATG